TTTTCGTTAATGCAATAGGGTAATTTATTTTGTAATTTCATTTTTCCAATTACTGTTTAGGACAAATACGAAATACATTCTAATTTAAATATGGTATCTAATAAGAATGATATTGTTTGCATTACATAAATAGGGCGTAGGGAATTGTCATACTGTCATAATAGCAATCTTAATAGTCAGAAGCAAAATATCTATAATGTCTTCTTTTTTTATTTGATTTAGACTCAAATCTGACCAGGACATATTCTTCCCTTACAAAAATTATCCATGGTTTTACTACAAATAAAATAAAAAAAACATGGTAACCACAAATTAACCATGGTTTTGCTACACTAACCATAGTTTGACCATGGCATTTGTAGTAAAACTGTGGTTATACAAATGATATTCAATACACTAAAATACACTCTGGTTACTAATGTAACCTCGGTTCCCTGAGATAAGGGAATGAGCGTTGCGTCAAGGATGCTTATGGGGAAACTCCTGTTTTCTTTCGTCTGATAGCGACAGTCATCGACTCACGTGCAGCCTTATAGCACGGCAGCCTACACAACGCTCGTTCCCTTATCTCAGGGAACCCAGGTTACATTAGTAACTGGAGCGTTCCCTATCTAACGGTCTCTCCCATTGCGTCAAGGATGCTTATGGGGAAATAGCGCCATGCTGTAAGCAAGTGCAGAACAAAGCTGCTCTGTAAGCTCAGCCCCGGAGCGCACGTAATGAGAGCTCCTAAAAAACATGAGCCAAATATGAGGCCCCAAAGCTGCTCTGAGTGCCAAAACAGGCCAGAGTGCTCAACATACACTCTAAGAGCCTAAACCGGCCAGAGTGTATTGGGACCCTGTTCATCCTCTGAATTAGAAAGAGCTAGAAGGGTAATGACTTGTGCTCTGAACGGAGTGGAAAGCACTTTAGGCACATAGCCGTGTCTTGGTTTGAGGACGACTCTACAGTCGTTAGGCCCAAACTCAAGGTATGAAGCACTGAGCTCATGATCTCCGAGCTCCCCTCAAAAACTTTACGATAAGGTCGTTTCTGTCGACTGACTGGCCAGCCATGAGAGCATGGTTCGCCGCGATGGCTGCCACATATACTTTGAGCATGGAAGGGGTGAACCCCTTATACTGTACAGCAGCTCTTGCAGAAAGGTTAACACGGATGACACGTCACAAGAGCATAGTTGTCCTGTACCGAAGTTTGAATAATACCTATGAAGTGAGGTGACCTGCGAGCGAACTAGAGTGATTAACCTCATTCTAGTAAGTAGTTCCGCTATTACAGTGGTAATTTGCTTGGGCATGTGCTGAGTGGGAAGGATGGGCCCAGCATGAACAACACTTCCGTTTCTCAGAGCTAGACAGGGAACTGGAAAGCGAGCACGAGCGTTTAGACGCCTGAGGGCGCTGATGGAGCCTAGGCTTTGATTTTAGACAAGGCCAAGCGGGAGACAGCGAGGGCATCGCAGGCTGCTAGGAAGACGGAGCCTTCTGGCAACCTGAATCAGCCGCAGAGCTGGAGCACTTAGGTAAGAAGAGGCGCATAAATCTGCGATGACTTCTGTGCTGCAGTGAAGCACTTTGCAAATCCATCCACGGCAGGGCCGAATAACCCCGTAGGAGAGATGAGTCAAGGAAGGTGACTTTTTCTGCGTCCTAGATCTCCTTCAAATCCAGTCAAAGGTGACGCTCAAGCACCACCAAGCTGGCCATGGCCCTGCTGATTACTTGCACAATAGCCTTAGTAGTGCGCAGAGCCAGGTCGGTTGCTGTGCGCAGCTCCTTAAAAGCATCAATAATAGGACCGGACGTCTGCACCTATAGCCTTGTGGGCAGCATGCCGACATACAGCGCTGTTGCGCTACGGGCATCCCGAGTTCAAGTCCCGACTCGAGGGCCTTTCTCAATCCTGCCCCCCTATCTCTCTCCCACTTCGCTTCCTGGCAGTTATGATCTGTCCTATCGTAATATGGGCGAAAATGCCAAAAAATTAATCTTAAAAAAAAAAAAAAAATAGGGCCAGACTCGTCCAATTCATAGAGGAGTTTGGCTTTAAACACTTGAAGCACCACCATAGCGTGAAGCTCTGAGCCAGCCGCTTAAGGCCTGCCCACTAGGGGTGTGCCATATCATACCGTCCACAAAAATATCGGTATTAATTTTTATCAATGATATAGCGACGCGATGACGTATGGCGGATATATGTTCCCTAGCACGCACAACAACAACACCACAAACAGCACAAGCAGCGCTGCGCAGACTGATCATTGTATGGCATCAAAGTATCGCGAGAGCAGTTCTAGAGCATATTCGAGCGCACACTCTTACCTTCAAAAATAGGCGAGGCGCATATCTTTAGCGAAGCGGCACGCAGAGCTGCTTCTGGGACGCTTCTGAAATGTGCTGCGGCTCCGCTGGTGTAAACACAAGCATTGACCACGTCGGAGCCATAAGTAACGCGCCGCAGACGTGTGCAGTGTAAATAAGGGGTAAGTCACTCTCGTGGTATTTTAACGTCATACACCGATCGGTCTGCTTCAAGTCGAGCACACAGCTGCTTCTGCCACCTTATGACAATAGATTTACACTTCAAATTAGGTAGTCTGTCATCGATGACAGTAGCTCATTGGAAAAGGATGGAAAATGCCCTTCATTTTGTTTGCACTAATAAATGCTGCTGCCTGCCAGCTGCAATCACCAATAAAACATTGTTCTATGTTTTTTTTCTATATCGTCATAAATATCGTTATCGCAAATATTCTTGAAATATTGTGATATAATTTTGAGGCTATATCGCCCACCCCTACTGCCCACTAGAGCCAAAATGGTCCTTGATGGGCCTGGATGGGTGCACAGCCTTGGCTGTTAGTCTCGGGGCAGATGGTGTGCAGCAACTTCCTCTTCCAGAGGGGTGAGCTTGCCATATCCCTTTTCTTTAGCGGCATCAATAGAGGTCAGGGTGGCAGAATTAGAAGAGTGGACACGTGCCGAGTAAGGGACACACCACTCCTTGGTAAGTTCATCGTGAACTTCCGGAAAAAAAGGGCGCTGGTCTCTGGCGGGAGGTTCATTGACGACGGCCCAGTGGGCACCAATCGTCTAAGCTGCTGCAGGCAGGCTCTTCCGGAGCCGACCATTCTAAGTCGAGATTCTCCACAGCTTTGGTGAAGATGCGAATCAGTTCGCTATCTGCGCCGGCCCATGATAACCCTGCCCATGAAAACAGAAGGGTGCCAGGATCCTCTCCAGGGCATGCCCAATCCTCCGAATCTAAAGCTATCAGTCATATAGAGTCATCAAATGGTCCTTGATGGGCCTGGATGGGTGCACAGCCTTGGCTGTTAGTCTCGGGGCAGATGGTGTGCAGCAACTTCCTCTTCCAGAGGGGTGAGCTTGCCATATCCCTTTTCTTTAGCGCCATCAATAGAGGTCAGGGTGGCAGAATTAGAAGAGTGGACACGTGCCGAGTAAGGGACACACCACTCCTTGGTAAGTTCATCGTGAACTTCCGGAAAAAAAGGGCGCTGGTCTCTGGCGGGAGGTTCATTGACGACGGCCCAGTGGGCACCAATCGTCTAAGCTGCTGCAGGCAGGCTCTTCCGGAGCCGACCATTCTAAGTCGAGATTCTCCACAGCTTTGGTGAAGATGCGAATCAGTTCGCTATCTGCGCCGGCCCATGATAACCCTGCCCATGAAAACAGAAGGGTGCCAGGATCCTCTCCAGGGCATGCCCAATCCTCCGAATCTAAAGCTGTCAGTCATATAGAGTCATCAGTGACAGCATTCTCCTCTGATCCATCTAAAAAGATCAAACCACTCATTGCAGACAAGGGGCGCTGATCCTCACATGTAAAAGACACTGGCAGATCAAAGTTCTGCGGGGAGAGTGAAGCACGCGGGACCTGTGCCGGAGTGAGATCACTCGAACCCGGTTGCTCAGCCCTGTGACTCCACTGTTCCTTCCGCCGAGGCAGCTGGAAGGGGAGAAACGGGAGAGCGGGAAGGGCGGGGACACCCTAAATGAAGAAGGCGTTCCGTGAACGAAGAAGGGCGAGACTCGTGCACTCGCAGTGAGAGCAGTCCGTCTCAGAAGAACGCAGCCTCAGCGTGGCATTTGCAACAACGCAGAGGAAATTTACTCTAGAAAAGGTGCTCTTTGTGATTGCTGGATAGCCGCAGGGGAGAAGGTGCTGAAGAGGAGTGTCTTCCTGCTGCCGCGGCTCTTCGATGGCGAGTAGTAGGCTTCGAGAGTCCAGCGAGGAGATGATCTTCACACTGAAGGAGAAAAATTCTGACGAATGGTGCTCTGAGCTGACTTATATAGCAGTCGGCTCCACCACTTCTGGAGGGCTGAAGCGCCATTTGTTCGTGCAGCTACACAAACATGAACAAATCAGGCTTCAGTATCAGAGTAAACAGGAGTTTCCCCATAAGCGTCCCTGACGCAACAGGAGAAACCGTTTGATAGTGAACCATGGCTACTACACTTTTACTATAATAAAACCATGGTTAGTTTTTGTAAGGGTTGACAGATTTCGTGAGATTCAGCCTAAAAAGAGACATCAATCCAGATCCATTATTGTCAAGGGATGCTGTGGTTACCACAGCAACCAATGGCACAACTCTTGTTATACATTTCTGTTGCGCAAATGGAAGAGCTAAACTCTATTAGTTTAACTCATCCTGTTCTTCATTTCTCTCAGACACCAAATAAGTTAAAATCTAAGCCCGTGTTAAGGAGTTCTATGAATTCTCGCGCGCTATAGAATCTGTGAGCGCGTGCCAGTCTGCGCACGAGCGTCAGTTGATTTTCCCTAAAAACCCAGCGCGCGTAGAAAACACGTTCTCGGCCAATAACGCGTGCCAGCGATTGGCAGATCATTTCCAACATTTAGCAAATGAAACCACGTGCAAGCATCTGTTCGCTCCAATCAATTGATGTAAACTGAGGACCTTTGTGGGAGCAATTGCGTTTCCGTGGCGCGGAGGTAGATCTCTATTAGTGAGTGTGGAGCCCATTGAATTTGTTGAAAGCGGAATAATACGGTCATATAAATAGTAGGGAAACGGATATTACCGGGGGCGTCTAATTAATCAGCCGTTTGCTTATTTGGCAAAATACGGATTAGACTATGCTTAGTCAATAGCGTTTTATATGAAAAAGAACCTATTTTTACCTGGATGCACGGAGTATTATGCGTTTTCTTTTCTCATTGGACTGTAAATTACGCATGGTTGATATTTTTTGCTCATATTTGGACGTCCACGTATTCCTTTCGTCTTTTTATGACTTGTGACTCAATGAAAACTATATTTTGAAACACGTTTTTTTTAGTAGACCACCCAGGATGAGTGAAGATTTGATTCGCCTTTAAATGAGATACTCTCCCATCGCCAATGCCACAAAACTGCGTCTTTTTCTACCAACCAAGCGCTGTAAAGAAACGCAAGACCCCATCTCTGTGAATACTGCGCGTGCTTCATCATCTCATTCAATTTGCTGTCAGCCAAGAGAGGGGCAACAATAACTTTGAACGGTTATTGTGTCATATTTCCTTCAGTCTCCGCATCATTTTCCACAGATTCCAAGCGGGCAGCTGTTGCAGGTAAGACGTGCCTTCATTTTGTTCCCATCTGATGCGGCTACTGCTGCAACGTGCGCAAGGATTGCATACAGCATAGGTCGCGCGCTCATTATAGCCTTTGCTTTTCGGTTTTTGCTGTGTGTGAAGATATTTATTATGAGCTAAATAGGGAATATTCATAACGAACATGAGATTTGGAAATGGATACATGTTATGGGGATTGGTGTCGCACAGCGTGTGTCGTCCGCCACTGGAATTTTAATTTCCTCCCTGAGATCTGCCATGATGCTGCTGTGTGTAGTGTTTGCTTGTGGAAGGGGGGTTAGGATTTCTAGACTGAATAATGTCTAAATGAAAACCTAAAACTGCAAATAGGTGTCCTAAAAAGATAAGTTTAGGGGGTGGTGGGCTGAAAATGTAATTATGTCAGTTTAACAACAATAGAAGTCAATGGAAAGTCCTCACCGTGATGGAAAAACAAGCATGTTTGTTTGTTAACGGCTTGTGTTACTTCTAAATGTGGCGCATTGTCAACACCAGCATCCAAATGCTGCAAAATGCACATAATTAAGCAAATCCCTTAATTTGTTCGCTTATCAAATGACAGTTAGATGTGTTTGTTCATTTCTTTTGTTTGTGTCCATCTGTAAATGACAGCACAAAGCTTTTTTTGTACTAGGACTTGTTGCTAACTAACAGACTTTTAAAATCCTATGCTACTTTAATTTTGTCTCCCAAGGCCTACTGCCCTCTTTCTGCCCTTCATCCCTCCTCCCCCATTTTGGTGTGTGCTCGCTAGTAAAATGGTAATGTGCTGCATATTGGCCTGACATCTGTCATCTCCACCTGTTTGTGGATGGGACGGATGCCTCCCATCCTCCTGAGTCAGAGAAACAGGGCTGATGGTGATGATGATGAGGAGGACGAAGGGGGTGGGGAATGGAGAGGAAGAGGTGACTGAGTTGAGATGTGTATTGTGCTCGCTTATAGGAAGAAGTATGTTGGATATTTACCGCAAAGGGAGGATGAAACGAGCAAACTAAGCGAGGTGATCCATCTGCCCATCTCAATGTCACATCCTTCTCTATCTCACTCACTGCAGCAGAGCTATTCTAAGAGAACACATTCGACCCACGCTCTGACAAACAGATCGAGAAAAATAAAAAGTGTATGAGAGAGAAGGAAGGACGGACGAGAGTCTGTAGTGTGGCAGGCCGTCTTTGGAGAGTTAGTGTGCATGTGTGTCAGAGGAGTATGTGCAGATGCTGTAGCGCACATCTGTAAGGCAGCCCGTGCTTCCAGGACCCTGTCCCTTCTCTTCACATCATTAGCCACACAAGGCATTGCCGATGGCAACTCCAGAAAAGAGGCGACTCGGTGAGCGTAAAGCACATTTTAAAATGAAAGGGCATAAATGCTTTTGGTTGCTGCATGTGAGGGGCTGTTGAAAGGTGCGTAGCCTTGCTCTTTTTCCCTCATCCCTTCTTCCATATGGGTCCTTGGTCCCAAAGACCCTTCCTCCCCCATCCCTGCATCCTTCCTGTCTTCTCTTCTCCTCTCAATAGGGTCTCTCTCTGCCCTGCCAACCCCCCACTCAGCACACATCTGTGGCTGTGTCACCCCCCGCTTCCTCTCTCCCTTCGTCCAAAACTGCACCTCTTTGAATGTATTAAGCCTTAAGTATGTTCCCACAAGCCTTTTTAGTGGCACTTACACTGTTTTGTACTGCTTTTTTGTGCCTGGTGCTGTCATTGAGGGTTTTAAGATTCACTGTATTGCATCAGTTATGCTAACGTGTGCATGTTATTCACTGCCATAACGTGTGACTCAGTATGTGAGAAAGCTGAGGTCGCACTACTACCGTATATGCAGGAAATATGGTGTGCATATTGCATACGCTTTGCACCTTGTCGATCGTGGAGGATGATGTGATTCACAACCATATGATTTTGGATGACTTTGATTTTGTTGTAAAGAAACAACATACAAATATAATCGAACCTGAATGCACAAATTTGATATTATTGTTTAAATAGTTTATTGATGGTTGTAATTGCATGGTTGAATGTGTACATATACAGTATGTCAGTGTCAGAATAATAACCAAAATCTCATATCACAGAGTGAGTAATTTTATATCACTGTTATGAAAAAACTAAGATTATTCATAACAAATGAATAAGTCTGGCATCAGTCCAACAGCTGCTTCATGCAATACCTGAGTTAAAGTGTAAAACTATTTCTTCTGACTTTAAATTTTAAGAGGATGAGTTATGTTTAAAGGACGATTAATGCACATTGTGACATAGATTGGCACTTGCAAACAATGCATTGCTTTGTGTTGTGCCCAAGACTCCTTAATAACAAGATCTTTTTCATTACTCATCCTCCAAGTTTCTGATGGACATATGAGCTCATTGCAGATTAGATATTTGATTCATTCTTAACTTTATTTTGTCTTTCAGTGAAAATCCAAGACTAACAAAGGAAAACAGAAGCCAAGACAAAGAGCCATCAGCCTGGATGAAAACGACTGGAGTCCTGGCCAGGAATACAAGTCGTCTTCTTTTCTAAAGCAGATGAACTATCAATGTTTTTGTGAGCCAGGGGCTTTTTGAAAGGATGTTGATTTGCACAGATTGAAGATTTTCTCTTTGACTTTTTGCTACCGAAACCAGTGCCAAACACTAACCGTGCCAACCAGAAGCAAGAATTTATTTCACTAGTATTTTTGCATTTTTGTTGATCCATTTAAGCCATTGAAACTCAATTTACACCAACATTAGTTCGCAACTTTTACCTTATCTTCACAATTAGTCTTTTTAACTATAAAAGCATGTAACGGTTCCCAAGGTGAAAAGTTTATATGTCCATCACTTAGTTTAAGTCAAAAACAACAAGCAGCTTTTGATCCCCAAAATAGGGAGAACAGTGCATTATTGGTTAAACATGCTTTATGTAAGAGTGGCCGATACGAATGCATTAACCTGAAAGAGTTTGGCTCCTGATCGATTGATCGATGGATGGATGGGCTTATGGATGGCTGGCACAAGCCTCATTAAACTTTCCAAAGTGAGCTGCTGCTAATTCTGTTGATTAGTCATCTGTTCCTCTCACTAAGGCCCGTTTAACTCTTCCTCTCCATCAGATCTCTTTAGTCATCCTCTTGTTTGCTCCTCCCTTTTCTACGGACTCTGCACATTTAGAGCAGAACCCTCAGAAGTCTCTGAAGGGTTTAGATACTGAAGCCATACGTCTCATAGCCATACTAACGTCAAGATCCTTGCCATCATTGGAAGGATTCAGCTTGGTCATTCGGAACGAACAGGTGCATGGGTATATTCAGGAATATCTTTAGAGCTGTGCATGTTCAACGGTGGTCCAGGTTTGACGTTCCGTAATCTGCCATATTCACCAGCGAGCCATTGAAGCATTTACTGTGTTGACAGTGGGACGACGTTTAAAGTTGTCACACTACTTGAAAAGACGCTCTTTAACACTTTGGATAGGTCTTTGGTGTGTCTGCTTGACGATCTCCACGTGTTCCACATTGACGGATGAATCCTGACTTCATGCCTGTTCAGTGGGCTCAACCATGCTGTCCTGCCAGAACTGGGCCCAAGCCCCCATTCGTTTTATTCTGTTGGGTTGAGCTAAATCCAGAGCAGAGACACTCACGCAAGAGGGTTCAACACACATAGACCCTCAAACTTTTTCAAGTTCAATCTTCCATTTCCTCTCTTCCTTTCCTGAACACTTCTTCCTTTCTGGCCTGACTTGTGTCATCAAACCAGGAACTAATATTTACCTGCTGCTTGTTACACTTTGTGAGTGCCCTAACCGACCTATACTCTTCTATAGCCTTCGTAACGAGCCTTTGTCCCGTGGTGCCGCCTTTAGAGAAAAGATCAGCTGTTCCCAATTTCTGAACACTTGCTCATTCATTGCTTCGTCCTACCTTTATCTCTAGCCACAATGACTTCCTTCTGAAACTCGAAAAGATTAAGTACTTAGTATTTTTCTTGAGAACTGACACTGTTAGCCTGATTATGTGGACTGCACAACAGAACCTCAGTGACCTTGAAAGGTATTCTTGTTAGTCTCATTGCAAAGCTGCAACCAACTGAGATTTGTTTACAAGACAACATCAGTTCTTGGAGCTGATGATGACAATTGTTTACAAGTCCATGGAATAGCTGAGTACTAGTAACTGTTTCTTTCTATACGGTTGTTTAGTGAGTTGACAACTGAAGTGCCAACCAGAATAGAGAACATTTGGTGAGACATAGTTTACACTCGAACAGAAATGTTTACATGTTGCCCATAAGGTGAACTCCGATTGAGTCTTGAATTAATTGTTAGTGCCATAGATCAGTTCAGTTACACAGACTTAAACAAACCACCTTTAAGAAGAAGCTGTACCCATGACTTTCTGACACTTTAAAAGGTTTACATTGTTAAAATATACATTTTGTTTACAGGACTAAATTGCTTGCAACAAAAGTCAAGATTCAAATATTTGTTCCTTTTGTTTCTCATTTGAGCCATTTTCATATATTTAAATAGAATTTGTTCATTGAAAAGATTCAACATTTTTAATTTTGTAAATCAAAAATTCCATCTCTCACACATTAAGCATAAAATTGTATATAGATTTACCTCATTCTTTGAGGTTTATAATTTCCTCAGAAATATGTTTACACCCTAACTGAGTCTCATACTTTTTTCTTTAACCCAAACTCCTGCACTTGGATGCGCATTTTGCATATTAAATAATTTGCATACTAGTGTATGCACACGTGAAGATTAACTTGTCTACATGTCTTATATATATCGCCACACTGACTTGCAACTTTTGATAGACATCAGCTTTTTGTAGGCCTCAGAAGTCTTTTGTACTAAGGCTTCACATTTTTTTTTTCATCTTTGATAAAATAAAGCCCCTTGTATCAAGATGCCACCCGCTGCCATCTTGCTTTTCTTCCTGCTTGGCCCTGTGGTCTCCACAGTGACTATTACCTCGGAACGCTCCTCCGTGAATGGGGGCCCAGTGCTGCTTCTGTTGCGAGGACGCAGCCGCAAGTTCCCTCAGCCCGATGTGCAGGGCAAGGAGGCAGCTGCCATGGCAGCAGATCCAGAGGCAGCTGAGATCCCTCTGAGACCCCTGCCGCAGATTATGCTACCCCGCAACGTGACGGCCGATGCCCTGAAGCCCCCACTGGGTGCCGCGCAGGTCGCCCCTCCTCCTCGGCGACTGGTGGACGTGGACGTGTGTCAGGGCTACTACGATGTGATGGGACAGTTTGACAACACTTTCAACTGCACCAAGGGCACCTACATCTACTGCTGCGGCACCTGTCATTATCGCTTCTGCTGCGAGCACCAGCGCAACCGTCTAGACCAAGACTCCTGCACTAATTACCGCTCACCCGACTGGGCCGTCACGGCGGGACCTATCACCCAGCCTCCCATCCGACACGACCCAGATTTCGACCCGCTGCAGCAACAGAACAACAACACGGCTTACGTCATTGGAGGAGTCATCTCTTTTACCATGGCTATGGCCATTGGGGTTAAAGTGGCCTTCCATAAACTGTCTCGACGACCGAGGAACAGAGACATCAACATGCCTAGGTGAGTGAAAGGCCCATTATGACCGGGCTCATGATGTGGAAGGAGACAATGCTGTACACATCTGAGTCTGCATCAGTGACTGCCATCTGAAGAGATCTGTAGTGATTTTGATGTCAGACTCTTTCAGCTTTCGCCTTTTGATTCCGTCATGCACTCATCCTTCATTTTTACTGTTTATATCTCTCTCTTCAGAGCGCTGGTGGACATTCTGCGTCACCAGTCCAGTCCAGTCCAGCAAGGAGAGAGGAACAACAGCACGGTCCTCACAACCGCCACCTCCAGCGAGGGCACGCTGGGGCGGACGTCGAAAAACTTCTACGCTCCCATCCTCCAGAGCAAAGACAACCGGAGTAAGTCTATCTCACCCACTCATAAGAGTTTTAGAACGAATAAAAAGCTAATTTGTATGCAAAGGGCATAATTGATGTAGTCACAACGTGTATAAATTTGTAGGGGTATGTATAATCAGATATAAGTCTGAAATTAAGTCTGGAGGCATGATTTAGTTGACAGATCGACTGTGTGAGTGTATGAGGTAATGTAGAACAGAGGATGTGTCAGAAATGAGTCAGATTAGTTCTGTTTCAGAGGCAAATGATGCTATGTAACCACATGAAACTAGAGCAGCAAGTAAAGGAGGAGGTGTTTTCCACCTTTAAAGCTAAAACGTTATCGACTAACATCCAAAATAGGAATGCTCAAAGTATAAAACTCGGGGGCAACTTTCAGGAAGTGAGGAGTAATCAGCGGCCAGTGAATAAAATAGAAAAATCTTGTAGTAATGCTAGTTGTTTATCAGCTGGTTTTGAGGAATGCAGTAACCAACAATTACACATATGTCTTAGACTGTGATGTTTTTAAAAGATGCTTTTCATTTTGCCCAAACAGTGTAGTTAAAGTGAATTTAAACGTAAATGTTATTTAGACCTAAAAACACGTTCACACTACATGTTCAAAAGTTTGAGGTATGTAAGATTTTTAAATGTTTTTAAAAGAAGTCTCTTATGCTCACCAAGGCAGCATTTTTTTGATAAAAAATACAGTCAAAACAGTAATATTGTGAAATGTTATTAAAGCGTGAAATAACTTTTTCAATTATAATACATTTTAAAATAAAACTTACCCATTACTCCAGTCTTTAGTGTCACATGATCCTTTAGGCATATTATTTTCAATGTTGAAAACATTTGTGCTGCTTACAGTAATATTTTAAAACCATGATGCAATGTTTTAGGATTATTTGAAAATAAGTTCAAAAGAACAGCTTCTGTTTTATCGTTCTGTCATTCTGTCTATTGTTCTATCTATTGTTCTATGTTTTATCGTTCTATCATACTGTCTATCGTTCTATGTTCTATCGTTCTATCATTCTATCATTCTATCTATCTATGATCTGCCAATCTTCAAGGCCCTTTATTTTTTTCAAGTTGAAATGTTTAATTTCTTTAAATGCTACCTCAATTCAAATTCATACAAAAAAAATAGAATTTGAATTTAAAATGCATTGTCATTTCAGTTTCTAAATGGTTCACATCCCAGATATTTTGTATGTTATTTTTTTAATTTCTTTTCTTTTCTTTTATTATTTTGCTTCTGGGAGGGTAGGTGGTGGAAAGAAATTTGTAAAGCCAAAAGAGGAATTTTGTTTATTAACATATCTTGTATAATGTACATTTTTCAGTTCTTCCTCTTCTTTGGATGGATGGATAGAATATTTATATGCCACTTATATCATTAAATATAGTATATATATATATATATATATATGAAGAGTTCAGATGCAAAAGCCTCTAAGTACGTCTGACGTTTTTCTTTAAAATTAGCATTTCTTTCTGGCTACTATGTATAGGTTTCTCTGTAAGTACTGGCA